TGCTGCAGCGTGGCTATGGCCGAGGTGACCTGCGGCGGCGGGGGCGGGGGGAAGAGCGCGCGGCCGCGCTCGGCCTGCTGCACCATCTCTCGGTCGTACTTGACGATCTCCTGGATGATGGCGTTCTCCTGGTTGTTGAACACTCCCGAGTTGAGGTCGTGCTGCACTTTGTGCAGCAGGATCGAGTTCTTCTTGCCTGCGGGCGAGAGGGGCGGTGAGCGTGGGAGCCTCCGCCTGCCGTATACGGAATGCGCCCGGGGAGCGCCCGCAGGCAAGCACAAGAGTGCCTGCCCTGTGCAGCGAGCACGTAGCTTCTGAGCACCTGCTGTTTCCGGCAAGCAGGCATGGCGCATCTCCACACAGAGCCAGGGTAACTGAACACCACTGTGTACCCCTAGCAGCACACGTCGAGCACCTGCTGTGTATACAGCAGGCAGATGCTGAGCACCCGTTGTATACACTAAGCAGATAAGAGTCCCTGTCGTATACAACAAACAAGCAAGTATTGACCGCCTGCCGCACGCAGCAAGAAGGTATGTGTTGTCCCCTGTGCACAGCAAGCGCAGGGAGCCCCGGGTGGGACAGCACGTGGATAGAAAGGCCCGTGGTGGCCAGCCACACCCAGACCCTGTAGGATACAGTGTGCTGAGGCCTACCACACAGCAAGCATGTGTAAAGCACCTACTGCATACAGCAAATGTAAGCGCCCAACAGACGGCCAGTGTGTGGAACACCTGTGGGACCAAATGTTCTGAGCAACTTGTAATGCTTTAAGGCCACTCCCTGACCCCTCCCCGCCGGAGAGGGCGTGGAGCTGCTGTCTAATGTTCATAGATGGCCCAAGGGCCACCAAAGCCCTGACTCCCATGTCATCAGCAAGCCTTGAGGGCTCTACTCCAACCACACGTGGGGTCGCCCCACCCCCCGCTTGAAGAACGCCATTGGATCAGTCCTCCCCCTGCCTGGCATCCTCCATGGCTCCCTAATGCTTCTGAGTTACATACAGTCCAAACGCCCCTGGTATCTGGCCCCTGCCTGCCTCCCTGACCTCCCCAGTCTTCCTCGTCTCCATGGGGGCAGGGCTCCTTCCCACCTCAGAGTCTTTGCACCGGCTGGCTCGACTGCTGGAACACGCCCTTTCCTCCTTCCTACCTGGTCTCCCCTCAAATATCACCTCCTCAGGGAAGCCCCGCCCTACAGTCCCACCCTCCTTGGTGACACAGAACGACTGTCGGGGACGTCTGTGCGGGATTCCACCATCAGACCGCCTCTGCGTCCTAGTCCAACATCTACAACTCCCGCCACACTGGCACTCAACAAATACGTGGCCAGCCAGGCTGTTGGCACAACCGGAAACACCCCGAGCTTTCTCCACCAGGGCGGGAGGGCGGGTCAGAGAGCGCGCCATCCGCTAGGCCCCGCCTCTCAGGACCCACTCACCGATGCGGTCCAGGCGGTCGATGGCCACGGTCTCGAAGGCGCGCCGCATCATGGGGTACTCCTCCAGCACTTCGTTGAAGTTGTCCACGCTCAGCGAGTAGAGGCGGCAGTAGGTGTCCGCCCGCACACTGGCTGTGCGCCGGCCTCGTGTCAGCAGGCAGATCTCTGCGCGCGGCCAAGGGAGGCGCCCTCAGCCGCTGTGCATGCGCGTGAGCACAGCCGGGGCCTGCTGCCGCTGGTTCAGGCCCTCTTCCTCCCGGGGTCCCTTCCTGTTGCTGGGCTGGTCCCCTGCGGCCGCTCCCCCTTCCTTTTCCTCCCAGTTCCGTCTGCCCTGTCCCCACACACTCACCCCCAAAGTAGGAGCCATCGGACAATTTCATCTCCTTGTTCCCCTTGGTGAGCACGCTGACCACACCGTGCTGGATGAAATACATCTTCTTGCCGACAGTGCCCTCCCGGATGATATAGTCACCCGGCTGGAAGACCTCAAACTTGAGCTTGGTCAGCATGGCCGTCACAAAGTTGGGGTCGGCGTTGGCGAACAGTGGCATTGAGGCTACCAGCTTCCGGCAGTTGAAGTTGACAATCTCCTGTGGGGGCGGAGGGCAGGAGACAGGGGTGGTATCAGTGCGGGGATCTGGTCCCTGCTTCCATTTCACCTTTGGGACAGTCTATCTCTCAGGCCCCTTGGGTTGTCATCAGTGAAATGGGTTTATAATCTCTCCCAAAACTTACTGGACACACACTGGATGTTTGCCCACCAAAGGCAGAAGCAATTAAAGTGCTCACTGATACAGCACCATGTTGGTGATACCAACCCAGGCAATTAGACAAGGAAGCAGTTGGAAACATAAGAATTGGGCAGGAAACAGTAGGATCTCTCTTTACAAATATATGAGTATCTGGAAAACCCAAAAGAATCGATGGAAAATTACAACAATGAGGAAGCTTAGTGAAATACCAGGTGATAGAAAAAAATCAAAGACCTCCAAATGCATTGATGGGGGAGAAGCAGGGGTGATGGTTGCCCTCGGCAAGGGGGCATCTAAGGATGGAGACACTGCAGCTTTGACCCAGGTGGTGGTGACATGGTACATTCACTTTATGGAACCCCCACAACGTGGGTACTTTTCTGCCAGAGACCTTTTGATAAAAAGAAAATCTTACCTTCAGAAGAAAAGCATCGGTCTCTGTACAAATAAAACCCACTTAGGAGAAGACAGTGGAGGAAAGACAGTGGAGAAGGCCCATTGACAGTGGCTTCAAGAGCTACGTCAAATGCCTCGACATGAGCCTACCAAGCACTGGCCAAACCTATATGAAGAAAATGCAAACTCTCCCGAGAAGGAGTCTAACTCGAGCAGACTGAAAACACTTGGCCTTCATGGGGATTCCTTCTCCCTACTCGTGTTCACATTGCATGTGGTCCCATGAGAACACCTGCAGGTTTCTTTCTAAAAGCTGGAGCTAGTCCCCACAAATGGTGGGAATGGCAAGAATCCCCTCAGAAAGATCTGATACATAAACTAATGTGCACCAGACCAGACTCACTGTCTTCCCTCGATTCCAACCCACAGCGCCCCTGGAGGAGAGAGTGGAACTGCCCCACAGGGTTTCCCAGGCTGTCAATCTTCACAGAAGCAAAGCCCAAACCAAGCCCACTCCCATGGAATAGATTCTCACACACAGCACCCCGAGAGGACAGAGTGGAACTGCCCCAAAGGGTTTCCAAGGGGCAGTGGGTAAGGTATTTGACTGCTAACCAGAAGAGTGATGGTTCAAACCTACCAGCCACTCTGTGGAAGGAACATGGGGT